AATCAGTAATATTCGCCAACGCCGTGCACACTATTAGCAAATGCACCTCCGTAGAGTTCTTTGGAGCAATTCACATCCTGTAGAACGTTCTCAAGCAAGTGCTTTCGTGACTAATTTTTTAGTTGTCTAATTAATCAGCCGGAAGACAAGACTTCCGAAATACAGTACTCAAGGTGCGTGCTCTCAATGAATACCTGTCCGCTGTAAATTTTGGCGAGAACTTCCGTGCATCGAGAACGTATCAGGAACTGCCAGCGCACTTCGCATACCGCTGAGAGTGGGGCTTGCACACGGACCAGAGACATTAATGCAGCGTTAGTTGAAGAAATCGTCAGACTTGCTGCCCTAATGAAAGGGTTCTGGGGTTGCTCAACCAGACCAAGTGCAGTCACGGGCGAGGAAACTGCGTCGGAAAAACAAGCAGATTACTCGAGAGGCGAAGGGTGGTCAAGCATCTACCAGCAGTAAGGCGGAATGGCGGCGACACATGTTCGGTCTCAGTTGATGAGACCGCGCCACAATTTAAAGTTCGGTGTGGTCGAAGTCCTCGGTGGAGGTGAGAACTGCACGAATCGTTCGTTGTTTCAGCCATGGTTTTCCAGTTTGCACTCTATCAAGAAGCTTAACGGCCTTCTCCTCTATACAGCTATAGAACACTGTCCCCTCTGTGAGGAGAGTAACCAATCACAGAGGAAGTCCAAGACGAAGGTTCATCTGATGGAATTCCCAATCGATCATCATATTTTGGGAAAAAGGCTTGGGGCAGTTGATTCGGAATTTAGTAACCGCATTAGTATCGCCGTAGTATGCTGTGTTAAACCCGAGTATTTTCAATTAGAGTAGTCCATTGATGGTGTCGTAACTGAGTTCCGTGCATTCTGCACTCTTGTGGGACCACTATCACCATCTCTTTACGTTTTTAAAATGGGTTCGAACATTAATTTTGTAGGTCGTGATAATGAGGCCCTTATATCGGGGACCAGACTCTCCTCCTCTTCGTGACGACTTAGAATCCTCCCGATTTTCGGATGTGTCGGCTAACAAGTTTTGCTTCCATGCATTAGCAACGGGCATGGTGCGTAGAAACAGATTAGATTTGCCATACAACAGCCTTTACCGTCTCAAAATACCTCATCCCTATTTATTCACTATTTAATGATTCGAATATAAAATAATGGTTGCGCAGAGGACATTCCACCTGCAGTAATTCAACGGCACAAATGAAAAGAAGGTCACAAATTAACCGTCCGCACGAAGGTAAGCTGTCATCACCTGTGTTAAGAATAGACTCAGACAGACAATGCTGTCTGAACCGACTGCCTAAACAGCTAGGTCCAACACCCCATACAAACTGTTACTTTACATCGCCGCCCTAATGCACTAACATAAGGCTTTTTGTCACAGCATTTTGTTTTTGCATGCAGACTGGCCAAAAAACCGCAGTTCAATTCTCAACGATGTGGGCCGTAAAAGCACAACTACATTTCGAGAAAATAGAGTTCCTCAGTCTGACTGCACATACGCATAAACGAAAAAACTCATTATTTGAATGAGAGCAGGATTGGGCCTCATTTACTGGATTTCGCTCCAAATCATCCAGCGGAGACGAGGGGTCAAACAGTCCCTTCTGCTGACCTGCAAATAACCATCCGCACTGAAATGAAGTTATAATAGGTCGGCAGATATCTTGCTTACTGAACACTTACGAGCAGGTCAACACTTCATGGAAGGAGGAAGAATATTTAAACAAACTACTTATTACACCAAGGTACCCTGCATTAATAACACCAATCCTTATAGAGCCTTGCCATCCGTCAACAAAAATTAAATCAAACGTGAATAATATCAGTCTTTTTAAAGTTAGCAAACGGTAGTTATTCTCACGCATTATCTCTCCCCTTGTTTCCTGGTGGATAAAATAGAAATAAGAAGGAATCACTGTTACCAAGGCAGGAGAGGGATATTCCCCGCCACCGCTGCATACTATCCTATTGATCGATTTGCAAACCGTGCAGTGTCTACTTAATTAAAATTGGACATCTCAAACATCTCTCCGCTCTGTTTCCTACGTTTGCACAAGTGCTCGCAACAAGACCATTTCTCAAAAAGTCAACCTTTCATGCCATCGCGGCTATTATGGGCTAGCTAATGCATCCGATTCACAGCGAACTCAGGTAAGCAACAAGAACCTCTGTCAGAATTGAACTTTCGACCTCACAATTAACTAGCTCACTCAACGCCAGAGCCTTCGAGTTAATTAATTTACTGCTCTCCGTGTTTCAGTCTGCACTCCTAACGTTCGTCTTGCAATATTCCACCACGACATCACCATCATGCCATTGTCGATAGGGAATCCACCCCGGAAGTCCTCCTTCTCTACCAATTATCTTCTTTACCCTTTGGATGAAAGTTTAAGGAACGCCTGTAATTTGGCAGAAAACGTCCAAAGACCAGTTCGGATTTGTGTTTGCGCTGACACGCTTCACTGCATTCTAACCAGCTAACTTCATTGTCTCGATTCTCGCCTATCTCCTCTTCCATTTTACGCCATCTTGTTGCCTATTTAAGGTCATATTTCTCCTAAAAATTAATTTCTGCCCCCGAGACAGCGTGCACAATATCCTCATTACCCTAATAGCTTGGGGTTTGAAAGCAGACCTGGACGCCTCCTGCAAATGCAGAATGAGGCACACCTCTTTCACGCTTTCTAGTTTTGAGCTCATAATTTCGGTGTTATTTTGAGCTCTACTTGGCTTGAGATGTTGACAACTCTACAGGCCCAATTTCGTAAGATCTGCCTTATTCCTTGCTGGGGTCGCTGCTGAAGGTCCGTCACATCGGAGATGGGCGTAGTCAGTAGGAAAATAGGAGATCACGAAAGCAGTCTACTTATCTTTCGTTTGGACGATTGACAGAAAATCTTCCTGATCATCTGTGAGCCTAGGGGGGAGGGGCAACGAACGGGGGCGGGTGGAGTGGGTGATTTTGTCTGTCATGAAAGTAAAGACTGGTAGTCGTAAAATGTGAAAATACGGGGCGGCTACATCAAGATGCGTTCGGATAGGGTTGAGCTTCCCTATTCTGGAGGTGTTGCGCTAGTTTCTAATTCGGTGATGAGATGTCGGTAAGGGTTGAGTTAAGGATAAAGTTCAGCCTTAGGGGAAGGTTAGAGTTAGGACATAAGGCTAGGGCAGGGGAATACTTGCGCAAGTGAAATGTATGGACTCGATATCCTTATCACTTGCCGGTGCTCGTGTATACGGCTAAATGCAAATTTCTTTAAGTAATTCGCTTGCAGTATGTTAATATCAGGTTACTAGTTTGAGAAAATATTAAGTGGGTGCCATTGAGTTGGTTGTCCGAAATATGAATTTTTGTGGTCACGTGCCAAGTTTTACTGGACATTTGAGTCGACGATAATTAACTAATATGGAGTTTTCACCTAATGCACATTCTACAAACAAGTAGCACCACAGCCACAAGTAGTATGCTGTACTGTTCAACGAGGCAACAGAAACTTTGACGAAACACTTTCGTTACATAAATATATACATATACGAATAACAGAGGTAGTATGCATTCCGAGATGATAAAATAAATGGAGAAGGCTCGTTGGAAAATCTTATATACGCGTAAATTTTCAAGTCGGTTACGCCAACCCGTTGTCAGACGAAATGACTTATGGAAGAGAGATAATAACTTTCAAGAGCAGGGGGAACATGAGGTTACATCGACAAAACAGACGTCCTTGTGAGGGGAGTGAATAACGTGTTTCGAGAGGCGCCAGAAAGAAGGGGGGTTTTCAGGGTTTCAGCTGTGCTTCACTCTGTCGGGGAGGTGCAAAATCTGTAATATTTCACCTGCTCGAACACGGACTAGCAGCTGGTATCTTAGGGTGGGCGCAAGTCAGTGAGACGTGAACGTCCATCTCGATTTTCAGACGAGCTTGTAGACGTCTGCTCATCTAAGAAAGACGGCAGATTTTTAGAGGCTATTCATTCTGATAACTCGTGCATCAATCGTCACGTAGAATTGGATGCGGTGTACAACAATCTCAAGGAAAAGTGAGAAAGGCTTTGGCCAATCAGGACGTTATGCCAGCAGGAGGGACAGGGCAAAATCGATTTTTAGGTACGTTTAAATTTTAACTGTTTTGCACACTTACTTCACGTCTGAGGACGACTTGAGGAACCGAAATCAAAAATTTACAATTAAATTTGTTTACCTCCCGCAAAGAACTTATTTCTTCCTTAATCATTTCTCGCTTGACGATGACGAAGTTGGCCTCGACGTACCGAGTTCACAAGACTGTATATATAAACGCCGTCGACGAGACCTTCGTCATCGTCAGGCAAGAAATGATCGAGGAATTTCACAGTGTCCTGAATTCCATTTTCCCAGACACCCAATTCACAATGGAGGCGGAGAGCAACTAGCTGCCGGTCCTGGACGTCCTTGTCCATCGAAAACCCAACGAGCACATAAAAACGACGGTGTATGGAAAGATTACCAACACAGCCAAATCCTAAGCTATCACAGTAAACACCCGTTATGTCACAAACGCAGCTGTTTGCGAGCTCTCTACAGTAGAGCAGAAGCACATTGCGGCGAAACGGACGACAAAAGGACAGAACTTCGCTACCTTCAGCGCCTTTTTATGGCCAACGGATACCAACGTAAATTTATCGAGCGCAGAAGGCAGTCTAAACCAGGCCAAAATCGGGTGGCAGAACAGCCGAAAGTCTGGCATGCACTGCCATACATCGACAACGTCTCTGAGGTAGTTTCTCGCCGCCTAAGACCCTTGGGGATCAGAAACGCTCATCGACCAGACTCAACCATTCGACATTTAGTTCTGAGGCCGAAGGACTCCTGTCACGAGGTGAGACGACAATGCCATCTACCGGGTCCAATGTAAGTTTTGTGAAGTTAACTACATCGGAGAGACGGGCAGCCGGTCAAAAACCCGTGAAAACGAACACATGCGGGCAGTGAGGATAATGGACCCGTTGTCTCTGGTAGCGGAACACTGCGCGGACTGTGGACACACTTTCGCCTTCCAGAACGCCAAAATTATGAGTCGAGGCAATGACCGCGTAGCCAGGGAAACGATCGAGGCCTGGCACACGGAGACAACCTCAATAGACCGTTGTGTCGCCCTTCCCGAAGCCTACCAAGCCCGCCGGACGCAGCTCAACGAACGAAGGAGCAAGCGCGAAGTTAGGCCAGACATAAATCCAAACACGGGAGAGCCTACGACGGACCTGCACGTAGCCACAACGCAAATCGGGCCCGACGAAGGCGCAGTCATCAATACTGTTGTCTCAACCACTACTCCGGAAGACTGGGAGAAACGAGGTCAGAGGGATGCAATCGAGACTAGCAACCCAGGACGCCAACTAAGGTCAACGCGAAAGTGGGCGATGGCCACCAACGTTCAAATGCCGAGCCCCGACGAGAGACAGGCCATTTGATAGCAGCCATCCCCCTCCCGCTCTGTCCGGGCGACTACAGAGACGATCTCTGTGCCATGCGGACAATTAGCGCCAAAGTCGATTAACGACTCCCCCGTGTAATTAACACCATGTTAACATGACTGTCATCCCTTCCCCTATAAGTACCATGTGACGTCGTACGATACTCGCCTCCGAAGATGAAAGCTTGTCTGCTTTTGAAGCGTCAGGACAATACAACCATGGTTCGCAGGATCGCCTGTTCTTCTCATATATGCATATGCAGAAGTAGACTTCTGGCAAAGATAAGAAGACCGGAGTGGCCATTTCTGATTTAGCAGTCCTTGTTTGCCAGTCACTTTCATGCTTCGTGCAGGAAGAGGTCTAACTGCGTTTTTTAGGTTTGCATAAAAAAGGCATAATTTTTGGCATAAATACATCGGGGCATGTTGACTGAAATATCCAGTTTCTCATCACAAACTTCCTTGTACAAAATACTGGGAGTCTGTTGAACTACGGATAAGTGACTGAAATGCTCAGTGACTCTAATTTAAAAAAAAATCGTACTGTGTGTGAGATAATGCTGTAATATATCTCTCTGAAACACAAATAAAAAACGTAAAGTCAACGTAAGAAAACCAATAATATTTCCAGTATAATATTGGGGTAGTGGATAGTGCATTTGTCAGGTAAGGAGCTGCATCATTGTAAACCCCAAGGTAATCTAATCCTTCACCTTAACCAAATAAGATCTTTTCTCGACAGCGTTTGGGTGATCGACAGTGTGCGAACACCGTTTATGACAAATACTTAACAAGCAGATGTTCCCAAAAGTGTTAACTAGGAACATCGTTAAGTAAAATGATTTCTTAGCAGTGAAACCCTGCATTCCATTTACTAACTGTCAAACTATATGTGATTCGCCCGAAATAATATGTCATTCGTTCTGGTGAATTTGCCCAAAGAGGGATATGGCCTCCTTAACCAGAGTTCTTCAGTGTACTTCCACATTATCCTTCTACTGTATTTTCAGATTTTGCTTTGGTATACAGGAAAAATTAGACCATTTGCAATATTCAACGTATGCAGTGTCTTGAGGCACAATCCAAGTGGAGAAAGAACTCTTTCTGGGACCGGAGGCTTGCATAAGTAGTTCAGGGCAAGGCAGGACAGTGAACAAATGCCTCCTTCTCAGCAGGACTAAAATTGCATGCATAGTCTTTTTTGTGCACTGCATGTATGAGGGGAGGGGGGATCTCAGAAACCGGGTTACCGCCTTCTCGACATTTAAAATTCAGTCAGATCTCCATAGTTGGATACGAGGTTATTACTTTATTCCATGATCGTAGGGGTGATGGTGGTGATCATGCAGTCGAGCCTCCTTGGAGTTTGAATGCAGGTCTGGACGCCTAACGCAAATACAGAGTCACACCTCTTTCACGCTTTCAAGATCGACCAGTTTTGAGGCCCTTTTTCAGTGTTATTTTGAGCTCTACTTGGCTTGAGATTTTGGGAACTCTAAAACAACAATTTCGTACGATCTGCCTTATTCCTTGTTGGGGTCGCTGCTGAAGGCCTGCCACATGGGAAGTGGGTGTAGTCAGTAGGAAAATAGTAGATCACGTAAGCATTCTGCGTAGCTTTCGTTTGTACGATTGGCAGAAAATCTGCCTGCTTAGATGTGAGCCTAGGGGAGGGGCGACCATCGGGGAGGGTGGAGTGTGCATTGGTGTCTGTCATGAAAAGGAAGGCTGGTAGTCGTAAAATGTGAAAATATGGGGCGTCTACATCAAACTGCGTTCGGATAGTCCCGTCCAGGAGGCAAACTCAAAGATGCGCATATAACTCAGGCGAAGGTTAGTCAGCGAGGAATTGTGCCCGTGCGGTTAAGTACCATTTAGCGTCTACCCTGGGCACTGACTACATCGCACAATCGACGCAACAAACTGTTAAATATTATAAATTCCTCGAGGCACATCCCGTCTCTATTCTGTTCCGGGTAGGAAACCCGGAATCAAATACTTCGAGTTTAAGCCTCCCTTTTAAACTACCATTTCTGGTTGGCAGTGTGATCACTTGACGGTGAAAGGAGGTATAAGCATCGTAAGCTCTCCGGATTCCTCTCTCTCTCGTATATACTTTCTCAAGAGGAGTCGATGGACGGAAAATTTATTAAGGAAATGCCCTTAGGGCAGCTTCCCTCCTACGTGCTGACCATCGATGTCTTTGCTCGGACGACCCCGATATCTCGAAGCCGGTTAAGACGGTCAGTCAGACGGTTAAACGTCTGGGTCAGTTA